CACACACACACACACACACACACATAGAAAAACACCCCCACTTGTGAAATCATTTTCCTTTCACCAGAATGATGAAATGTTTCCACAGGCAGTACTGGAAAAGGCATTTTCAGGCCCTTAGTAGAGAACAGGAATTTCTTGCTTTGTGTTGTCTTATTTAACAAAAAAAGTTATATAGTTATAACTATAAAATAGTTATTGAAATATATTAATGAACATTTTCAAGAAAAAGGACAAAAACATTTCTTAACAAAAATAAATTATATCTGGTTCCGTTTTCCAAGGTTTACTACTGTATCTGCTAATTGTGAATTATGAATTAAGATGTTAGACTCAACAAACATTAAATATATATTATCCAACTGGGGTGGCATGGTGGCCACACATCTCGGTGACCAGGGTTCTAGTCTCCGTCATGTCTCCTTATGTGTCGATTTTGCAAGTTCTCCCCGTGTCACCGTGGGGTTTCCACCAGATACTCCGCTTTCCCCCTGCAGTCCAAAAACATGCTGAGGTTAATTAGAGTGACCAAATTGCCCGTAGGTGTGAATGGTGTGTGAGATTATGCCCTGTGATGGATTGTTGCCTCATCCTGGGTTATTCCCTGCCTTGCACCTGTAGCCTCTGGGATAGACTCCGGATCCCTGAGACCCTGAATAGAACAAGTGGTTACAGAAAATGGATGGATGGACGGATGGACATATTCCCATTTCACACCCCTCCATTTACAGAATGTAACAGTGCCCTGCACATGACTCTAATTTCTTCACTCTGCATTTCTCATGATCAGGTTTATCATCATTTTTTACTTTGGATTTGAGCTATGAATTCCTTTTTCTCATTGGTGTTACATATACAAAAATGTGCCTAAATATTTGCTAGATAACCTGTTCTAGTATCTGCCTTTATAGAAGAACCATAAAAATACTCCCACGGTGGGAGAGATATGATGATTTCATCTGCCTCCTATCATTCATTTATTGATTCCAGTCTATATTCACTTAATGGCATTGGCTGATGATGAACGCCAGCCAGGGGCGTTTCTAGGATTTTCATTTAAGGGGGGCTCAGCCACCATAGATGTTTAACACATATTTGG